GTGAAAACAACTGATAATTTATCTTTGATCCCTCCTTCATTGTTCGCTTTTCACCGCGACGAAAGGAGATAATTATCCAATCTGAATCAAAGCAGCTATTAGTGCATCCCAAAGCATGGATCATAGCATTTCACACACACACGAGGGCAACGGCGCAGCCTACAATGGGAGGTTGCCATGTGAGCGAAAGGTATAATTTCACCATGTAGCTATGGCTACACACCGGCGGCTGGCGCGCGAATCACAGAGGTGCCTTGGTGCTTTCAAAGATCCTTTTCATAGACGGCTGCTCGGAGGCAATGCCCGCGATGAATGGGTTTCTGCTCTGCTCCGAGTGGGTGGCTTAGACAGAAGGCACAGTGTGCGTCTCTCCGTGTGGGCGTCTGTGTGTTTGCGTGTGTCTGCCACCCTCTCAAAAAGATAAAGGTCTGAAACCATGATGATGGCACAGCATTGTCATCAGCAAGGCGGGCTGCTTTTTTAGCACCGTCATTGTCACATCGGTGGACCACCTCACCCAACAGCCATTAGCACTCCTCCTACTTTTTATTTCTTTATTTTTGTGATGCAGTGCCGCCTTTTCCCACAAAGCTTACCTCATCTTATGTGCTTAGAATTCCCAAGTGTGGCAAACTGCAGCCTGGACCCCCTCATTGATGATCATAGTCGCACACTACAAATGTACTGTAATTGCTATGTAGGACCTTCACTACGCACTTCTTGCAGTTGGCCTTATCATGTTTTATTAGAGCAAGAATTACGTCTCCCATAAAGCAGATGTTAGATTTTCACCCTCACTTGGAGCTAATCAGAGAGACGTGATGTGGGTGAAAGCTTTTTAACTGCTCTCCACAGTACTAATAAATTAACACCTCCCTGTCTTTAATGAAAGCATTATAATGTTTGTGTGGGGGTGTGCGTTTTTTTTTTTTATAATTTTTTTTTTTATCAACATTGTTGCTTGATGACAGCTGCGAATGCATTGGATGTCTTTTCCAGGAAAGGATTAGCCCAGAATATAGCCTTACTACCTGACCTCGTATCTCCAGCTAAAATTCCTCTAAATGAACTGATCTCCTCTTTTGTGTTCAACCTAATGCTTTAACACCCCCAAAGGATATCAGCCTTTTTGATGTCCTTTAGCCATATTTATAGCAAATCCATATCCTCTTCACTACTGGGCATTGAGACTTCCAGGAGTCTAAGCTAGTAAAAGACTGTGAATAACGCCGTATGTGTGGAAAGTGACATTTTTACAACGACATTAGAGTCTAAAAATGCAGCATTGTGCGTGCACAACACAGGTAGTAATGTGAAGGTCAGACTCCTCGCCAATAAAATCCTGTTTCATAGTATTATAAAGCACTCTGTAGTGTCTTATTGTCTGATTTGGCGTCTTCAAACTATCTTTTACTTAAACCGGACATCCTGGATCAGATTTCACCTTTTCATCTGCAGCAGCCACAAATCTATGACGAAGACTGGTTTCAAGATGGCGCCTACTGAGCTTTGACTCATTAACCCTCCTATTTATTTCACCTAACTCTCCTTATTCCTAACCCTAATCCTCTACCAACACCAATCGCAATACATTTATTATATGAAATTACAGCTAAATTTGTATGATTCATCTCTCTTGTATAAATATGCAGCTCTAAGTAATTTCCTTGACGCTTTTATGTACAAAACTTGAACGTTGTTTTTTCAACTGCTTTGTTGAGCATGCACAGAGGCGTTCATGCTCAACGCAGTATTCTCCGAAATGCAAGGAGGCATGCAAACAAAATACTCTTTGAATAAGCAAGAAGTCAGCGAGTGTTACTGGAAGAATGTCATTATCCATCATGGCTACACGCGCTGCCTGGCAACAGTAGTAAACACAATATACTGCCAAACGGTGCATTTGTGCATGGTAATTATTACTGTTGCTTACCTCCAAATATGGTTGGCTCTATTAAGAATCATTTGGCTGTCGGTGTGGTCTGTCAAGGAATGGTCGTGGAGGCCAACCTGCTTGGCCACTTGCCAACCGTGGAAGCTTGCGAAACAAAACAGCATCTAGTATTTTTTTGTAGCCCGACGTACAGTATACACACAGGTCTACTTCTTTAGTTGACACATATTGTGTATGACCTCTTGAGGTTGTTCAGTTTACTGCAAATAATGTTTATATAATTGAATGCTGCACTGAATTCTTTTACAGTTTTTTAAAAAGTATTGGAAATCCCATTACCATGACAGCCCCAGCCAAGGTACTTCATTTCTTTTCTTCTTCCACCTCTAAACTAGACAAAAAGGAAGGCCGAAGACAAATCAAACCTAAGTCATGCAGAGCAGACACAATGCCGTGATAGATCATGAGCCCATCAGGGAGATAAGCCTCTCAAACAAAGTTTGACACAATGAAAGGAGAAGGTTTTTATGAGTCCAAGGCCTGCACTTAGTGCGTCAGCCCCTGTGCGTTATGAAACACTCTCCCAAGTAACTTCACCGCCATTTACCTCATTACTTTAAATGGGGAATAATGATGAGCAATTGCAAAAAGCATACATCACTCACAGGCTAGAGATGAACTGAATGGAGAAAAAGGGGTGGGGGGGTTAACTCTGCTCGTAAGTCCACAGTGACTGACAGAGTGAGCGGTGCGGGTCTGTGGCGTCTTTATCTGTGCCCGTCTGCGTCTGTGATCTCCGTAGGGCGCGATGGTGACGCTGCGCTTCCCTGCAGACTCGGTTTGGGATGCCGTCCAGAGCTCAGCTTCAGCACCAGCTCCCTCTCTCACACACACAGAGTCACACCCGCCCCCACACAGTTTCTCCTGCACACACACACGCACTGCTACACCAGCCTACGCATTCTCTCTCGTGGATGCAGAGACACACACACACACACACCTTGTCCCAGTGTCGGTGCATACTGTAAGGCTCCAATTAGTTTTGACACCTCTGAGGTTTTTGGTTTGCGGGGTTCAGCGCTAACATTATTCCTCTGGTATGGACAGGGCTTAACAGATCCGTGTGTTTATCTGTGTGCATGTATGCCTGTGCCGGTGCGTGTGGGCGATGCTTGTTGTGATCGTGTGATTTAGTATGCATATGTGTGGGCAGGTGCGAGGTTGTGCATGTGAACCATAAGGGGGGGGGGCTTGCTGCGGCTTTATCTCCAGGGCGTGGAGGTCAGTCCCGTCTGACTCGTGACTCTCATCATTACACAGCTGCTCCGGGGTCTCCGTGAATGTCGAACCTGTTATCTGACTCTCGCGCCGCCGGCGTATGTCTCATAAGCAAAACATCTTTATTCTTATTTTTGTGTTTTTTTTTTAATGTGAAAACTAAAAATGACAAAGAAGCCTATAGCGTCTACAGGCTTCATATCCTTTTGTGGTGGCTTCAAATCACTGAGAGGAAAGTAATTGTAGCAACACAAATAGCGTGTTAGATGCTCTGTGGGGTGTCTTTAATATCTGTCAGGGAGAAACCAATAGCCAGGCTTTATTAGTTTTCCCTTTGATGAGACTTGAAGATTATTTGTTATTTACACTGGGAGCCGGGCTTATACCTTGAGCTGTGCTTGATTAAAAGTTCATCTCTGTTTGCCTGCCCGCCTAACAAAGGTCTCAGTGTGGCTACGTAGACTTGGAACAGGTTCAGTAGCTAATTCAAATCCCTGTAGCATGTTGAGGGACACTCTGGGCTTTAAAGCTGTTGTGTTAACAGAAATAATCCATATCATGCTTTTATTCATTTGTATCACGGCTCATGGGAAGTGTTCCAGTTACGTGCTTTACTAAGAATAGTATAAGAGAAGAAGAAGAAGAATGTATTATTTTATTGATTTTTTGATTTTTTTTCTTTAAAAAACATATCAGGATGTTGATATATTGTTAATATATCCTCCAGCTCTAGCTGAAGCCGGCTCTTCTCGTTCATTTCCAGATCAACGGCTCTGTCTGGTGACTTGTTGTCATTTAATATGTTTCATTCAGGACTTAAATTGCTGTCCGAGTGCAACACTTGAGTAATTAAACTGAGTCATCACCGCGCGTCATCTTTCCTCATGAGAGGAAATGAGAGAAAGCAGTCTACGTCATTGCTAATCACGCCGCTGCGATTTGACTCTTACGTGTCGTGGAGTTAAGGGGTCTTTTTGACCTCCTCACGCTAACACCGATTCTAATTTAACCCCACTCCCCATCCGTCCTCCTTCACATTCACCAAGACGTGCCATGTAATGCCGGCCACTTCCCCTCTCCCCTCCGTGCTAATTCATATCACTCCACTCTGCCCACATCTTTTCCACCGCTCCACCTTCACTTTCCATCTTCCCCACAGCTCCACTATTGTATCCTACCCTTCACTATGTTGCTCCCTCCTGACCTCTCTCCTTTCTTCCACCCACTCTCCTCGCAATAAGCACTGCAATGAAGATCCATATTGGATTATTGTGTTTGCCATTAGCCTCTGGCTTGACAGTGTAATTGCCTTCATCCACCGGGGTCTCTGTAAGCCTGACCCTGCCAACACTGCATTTGCATTTCCACACAGAATACTCGACGACCTGTCCTGTCAGAAGATAACTAAAATCAAAACCGGAGCCCCCAGTCTGTGTGTGCAGGGCCAAGACCTGCCAGGGTTACACAAGCTAACAAGTCAGAAGCTGGTAATCATCTCTCACAACAATGTTTCTACTCAGAGCTGAGAGCTACCCGCACGCCCCACCGGGTAGTCACAAGCACTCCTCAATGCCTAGCTCTCATAATTTAGGAGACACACGCTCCCCAAGTATGAATATGGATGCTACCTTCAAGCACTTGTTTTGGAGTCAAATGCCTACATATGTGCCATTTCCTCAGGCGGTAACACAACCTGTTTCATCGTCAGGTTTATTATCAAAAGCGTGCTTTTCAGTTCACTGAGTGCTCATCAGTGTTGATCAGAGACTCCGTGGTTTCAGACTGTTAACGGCCTTGTCTGTTTCTCTCTCTCTCTCTCCCCCACCAGGGCCGTTGCACGCGAGAGAACTGCAAATACCTCCACCCGCCCGCTCACCTGAAGACCCAGCTGGAGATCAACGGGCGAAATAACCTGATCCAGCAGAAGACAGCGGCCGCCATGTTGGCTCAACAGATGCAGTTCATGATCCCCGGCACCACCATGCAACCTGTGGTTAGTGCTGGCCTCGCTGCTGTGGGAATAGACTGGCAGCGCAGCGTGACTCACTCAGAAAATAGCCGCGAACGCTTTCGTTGCGCTGCACTGTAAAAAGTTTGGATTCGCTCCTGTTAAAACATCTTTACACATTAAGTTACAGCAGTGAATTCAACATTTTGCAATATCACATATTTTATGTTACTTGCATGTTTTTGTTTAATTGGTTGATTTAGAAAGTTGGTATTAAATGTTGGCTACATTACTTTGGCTGAAGTTACCCTTCATGCCAGTATAAATTTCTTTTAGTGTCAACTGGCGCAAGCTTTAACTGACAAGCAGGGCGTGATTCACTGAGAAAACATGAGAATTCTGTTACAATGCATTCACACAGCCTCCTATTAGACACTTAATCTTTCCTCTCAGATTACCCTGTTTTCAGATTACATCTCGGAGTAGATAGATCATGAATTTGTTCTCGCAATAGTTATTGAGATGCCCTTGAGCAAAGCATAAAAGTACTCTCTCGGAGACTGTGGTTGCACTGGGCAGCTGCCAGGTGTGAACGTGTTTAACTGCATCGGTGTAAGGCTGGGTGTAGCTGAAAAAGAACATGCCTGCTCAGCTAAAATCATCCCGGGGTATATTGAGGTTAAAAAAAAAAACAAAAAAAACCCTCATCTCTTGTTTCTACCCTCGCTTCCCTCTCTCGCCACTTTTTCTGTGAAACCTATTCCTCTCCGCTCCCCCGGCTCTATCTCTCTCTCGCTACCTGTCACACCGTCCCCCCCTCCCTCACCTCTCATCTTTCTCACCACTCTGCACAGCTGCGCCTTTCGTTTATTTGCCTCTTGTGTCTCTTTCCTCTAACTTCTCTCCTTCCTTTCCATCTCTGCACCCTCATTCTGCCTTTCACCCTCCACTTCCCGCCGTCCCTCCCTTCATATATCACATTCATCTTCGCCGCTCAACCATTTCCTTCGTCCCTGTCTAGAATTTTACTCAAGAATGTGACGAGTAGCTAAAACAACAACAGAGAGGAGTTGTTCGAGTAAGTGTCGGTAAACTGTCTTTTCTCTCCATGTGCAGCAGACGTTTCCAGTCAGCCAGGGCCTGGGCTCCAGCGCAGGTTTGAGCTACACGCCTTACCTGACTCCCATGTCCCACAGCATGGGCCTGGTGCCCACAGACATCTTGCCCAGCACCCCTTGCATCGTCCCCGGCAGCCCGCCCGTCTCCGTGACCGCCGGCTCTTCCTCCAACCAGAAACTGCTGCGTACCGACAAGCTTGAGGTGACCCACCCAATCACAGCCCTCCCTCTCTCAGACAACACCAGCATGCCAGCTAATCATAGCTAATGGTTTCTTTGAGGTCATGAATTGTAATTATAATAATGGTAACATTTAGCTGTGATTACGGGCGTGAAAGAGATGCAATAGATTGGTGGTGTTCCAGAGCATTTACAGGAAGACCTCTGGGCATTATGATTTTGATACAATAGGCACAAATACGTGTGTAACGTCTGAAAAGATTCTCTACATAATGTGGAGTGAAAACATACTAACCACCTCCATGGTTACCACCAGAGTTGGCATAGCAACAAATAAAATACAGCTATATGGGGATTCTTAGCAGCATTCAAACACATCTTTAGCCTTTGAGTTAACTTTTTAAATCCAGCTTCTTTTGGTACAAAAGGCACCCAGAGAAGGACCTGAAAGGATAAGCAAGTTTTACGCAATCTGTTTCATAAGCAAGAAATAAATGACTTAAAAAAGAAAAAAGCAGTTCAGGTTCATAAATCGTGTGTTTACACAACCAGGTTTTGTGTGTAGTTGTTGTATTTGCCCGATCTGAACTAAAGGCTGAAAGACACACATGATACTGTTTCCAGAAAGTCATTTTTCATCGAAATGACATTATCAGCTTGCTTGATTTTTTACCTCTGCATTATCCTTGAGCGGAGTTAAGGAACATCTGATTGTGTTACCCCTTACAGAAATAATTAAGGCCCGTATCAGAAACATGATTATTAAAAAAGAGATAGTGTGAAATTACAGTTATGTCCAATTGGAATTTGCTCAACACATACTGGGACTTGTGAGACAGCCACAGTTAGACTGGGACTCCATCTGCCCCCTGGCAAACAGCTCTGAATGAGAATAGATTGCAGATTGTGAAACAGTGCAAAAAGGGGGAGGTTTTTTTTCCCACTACACTTAAAAAGATAAACAATAATCTCCCTAAGACCTGGAGGTGATGCGTAGGTGTGTGCCTGTATGTGTTTTTCTCCGGGAGTGCTATCACTTAGCAACTGAATGAAGTTGGCTCTAATGAAACAGTATCCCTCTGAGACACGTATACACTCCCACACAAAGCCAGCATGTGTGTGCACACGTGTGTGTCTCTGTTGTGTTTTCTGCACATGTGTATGTATGTGTTTTTACCGCTGTATGTGTGTGCGCGCGTACACTCTGTGTGTCTCGGTCCCAGAGTGCGAGTCAAAAGCAGATCCCCCTGCGATTACGCCGAGGCCTCTGAACAGTTGAACACTGACTGGTTCACCGATTCCGCAATCATTTGGGTTTGGCACACACTGCAGTTTAGTTAGACGTTAAGGCCTTTTCCCACCAAGTCTAAAACTAATTTATCGTCTGTGTTTAAAAAAAGAAGAAAAAAAAGAAAGGTTGGTGTGATTCTGGTGCAGCAGAATAAAATAAAACCTTTCAACACTCCACTTCCTATGCTCTGGATAAGCCTAAAAACAGCACAGCCTTCCGATGTTTGTTCCCCTGATTTATTCATTTTGGTGGTTTCTTCATCATCTTTTAACATGTAAGTAAAGGTTGGAGCAGAATTATTAACTTAAGCTACTTCTCAGGAGAGTTGAACACATATTTTTGCGCAAGAGTATCAGACTCGGTGTGAAAAGGCCTCAAGGCTTGTTGGCTCTACTGTGCAGTATTAAAATATGTATCAAGATTCTCATTTTCAAAACAGTCAGACACCAGAATGCCAAATACTTCTAAAAAAAAAAAATCTAATATCTTCATCAAGATTTTGATCCCTGCCTGAATTACTGTGCTGGATGCTTGATCATGCACTACAGTAAGAGGATGACAAGAAATAAATGGAATTGGATGCAGCCAATGCACAGTGATGAATACAGTGATTCTGACTACATGTACTGAAAGCTCAAGTATTTACAGTTTGTATGTCTGTGTGTATTTCTTTGTTTTCTCTTTTTGCATGCATCCATCTGTGTATGTGTGTGTGTGTGTGCGTGCGTGTGTCTGCGTGTTTGCTCGTGCGCCGTCACTCTCAGGTCTGCCGCGAGTTCCAGCGGGGCAACTGCGCCCGCGGGGAGACCGACTGCCGCTTCGCCCACCCGAGCGACAGCCCAATGATCGACACCAGCGACAACACGGTCACCGTCTGCATGGACTACATCAAGAGCCGCTGCTCCCGCGAGAAGTGCAAGTACTTCCACCCCCCGGCCCACCTGCAGGCCAAGATCAAGGCCGCCCAACACCAGGCCAACCAGACAGCTGTGGCCGCGCAAGCCGCCGCCACAGCTGCAGCCATGGTGAGAGCACAGCACTACCTATCTCCCTACCTACTGTAGCCTGTGCCTACACAGTAGTAGAGCAGGAAACACACACACACACACGTCCTTGTAGTAACCAAACAAATCTCACAATGTTTCTGCTTGCTTAGAGTACTTATAGAGGAAGACCTTGTAATGTCTGGATGGGATAATACAGTACAGAGTACCTTGGACTTTCCAATAAGAGCTTAGCCTTTCTTTATAATATCCAGGGAGGCTTGTGTAACCGGTAGCTGATCGAACACAGCCCAGCACTTTGTATGATACGGTCTAATCATTAGCTGGTTTTTCTTGATCTCTTTTGAACCAGTTAAGATACACATAAGCACACACAGGCTCACTGAATACACGTGACATTATTACAAACCATCTTGGTTTACACAACATGTAAACACATGCTGTTGATGATGACACCCACAGTGACATAAAATGTGGAGCGCTGCTTTATTACTGTATAAAACATACCCACCTCTGCTGGTTTATTCTAGTGGACTCCAGTGTGCAATTCACTAACAATAGTCACCCCAAAATGAGGCCTTTGTATACAATAAACAGGCTTTAGTGAGACCTAAACGCATCAGTATAATGCCGCAAGAACAATCTGTTATTATCTCACCGCAGTCTGCTTTTATTTTCCAATGCCCTTGGTTCATACAGAGACAATGTGCTGGCTCACTCCCCTCCCCATCCCACCTCCCCCCCCTGCTCTCAATGATAAGTGCGGCTCTCTGCAGATCAGTGCAAATTGAATCAGGGATGGATGAGGATGCAGCCACAGGGGTGGGGGTTTACCCTCCTCTGCCTTTAGTCAGAAAAGTCCCCCAACAGGCTGAGGAAGAGACAGAAACAGTAAGACAGGCAGGCAGGCAGGCAGACAGATGTAAGAAAGGTTTGGCAGTGTGTCCTGGCTGTGCCCCACCCTCCCCCAGGCTCTCGAGTGGCTTTCTTTTCAATGGTCCTTTGGCTGCTGCACTCGCAACACCTTGTACTGCGCCAGTGTGCTGACTGACTTTTCTCCCTCCATGGCATGGGCATGCTTTACGCGTTGCACATACCCTCTCTCATTGGCTGGCTCCATTCGCTGCTTGCTCTCCCTGTTCCTTTCTCCATAAGTCCACAGTGTGGGCGATAAAGGCGGCCGTGACTGCAGGTCAGTTTTTGTTTGTGTACATTGTCGCAGCTGCACGGAAGCAGGGAACCAGCAAGGAACTGAAACACGCATAAATAAACCTGAGACCAATAACGTGATGTTGACCTGTCAGCGCTGTTATCTGTACACAAGTACCTTAGCTTAACAGGTTCATCAGGATCCTTCGACAAAAAAAACTTTGTTAATTCTCCTGACCAGCTTATTTGTGCTCATATGCCCCAGTTTATCAACTTTATGACCTAATTCCCAATTTACCATCAGCAGTTACAGGCTGTGCAAGGGGTGAGCAGGGTTAACCTTAGGACAACGAGTTGTTTAGTCAGCACCTTTGATCCAATTTTCTTTTAGCCCTTAGCCTAAGCTGAAGCTCTTTTATTGAAGCAGAGACCCATAAAACCTGTATTGCTGCACTGCTGCAAATAGGTAATATCATTATCCATAATTCACTTTTTTTTTTTTATCTAAAGCAAATCGGCTAAAGTGTCCTGTAGATAAGGTTACACATTAACTGATACAGTTACAGTAAGAAGATCCTGTTATTGAGATTATGTTGTTTGACTGTGCCACATTATGTGTTGCTTGCCATGCTGTGATCTTCTTCCTCATTGCAAGTCGAATGCAGTCATCTTTGCTTTCCATGTCACTTTAGTAGACCATCTTCCATTTGAACTAACCACAGCGTTCCAGTCTGTTAACACCACAGTGCATCGGCAGTGCATTCTCGCTCTTTAGTAGGATATACATTCAGAAAATCCACATACATAAAGCAAGAGGCTTGTGCATGGACCCCCCTTAAGTGTGCTCATCACATCCATGTCATCTTTTTTTGTCCTCTCAGCAGTGACATCAAATGTAAGGTTTTTAAATACATTAACAAAGTAAAACCATTTATTATTACCTCGTTAGGCTGGATTCCTACTAATATTAGATTTGTAAACACACGCTTCTAGATTTGAAGACATTTTTTCGTATCTAGGAGGAATGTAAGAATAAACAGAGCTCCACATTCTGTGATTGAACTATAACGTTGCCTCACATTGCGTCACCTCCCCCGAGTTCATTGATCACACTAACTAACACGCCACACGCACTCACGATGCAGATTTAGTATGAGGATTTGTCACTTGATTGTTAGGACTAGTTATTGTATCTGCCACACGGGTGACAGCGCTCCAACAGCCTCTCGCTAGCAATAGTGTTTATCTGTAGTTTAAAACCTGCCTACACGAACAAGTCCAGTTCTCGCTGCCAGTTGTGAGGGCCGTCATTCGAAGTGCTCTGAAACCAAAGCTCGCTCACACCCCAATCTGTTGTTTAGACGGACCCGAAACCACCTCACACCATCAAGTAGAGTACTCCCAGGAGCAGTGTAATTACTGTGTGTGTAGGACTGTAGTACTTTGTTTGAAAACTGTAGAGAACCTGTGTTCAGATCTCACATCAAGTGTCAGCCCAGTACTGATAGTCTGAATCAGCTGTGTTTACAATACTGCATTTTCTTCTTACGTAGATATTCCAAACAAAAGTTGATTTACTTGTTCAGAAATAGTTGACGTTTACTACTAAATGCTTTCCCAGTAGTTTTGAAGTACATCATAGAATCTTGCTTTTTTAACCAAAGGTTAATGTAGATGCTTTTTTTTGCTTTTGTACTAATTCAAAAAAAAGTAGCAATGTTTCTTTAAAGTAAACAAAACAATTTTTTGTTTATGTGCATGCCTATTGTTTTGTATGTGGTATACTTGCATTCAGATTATTTTTGTTTTTGTTTTTTTCCTTCTCACCTATCCACAATGCAATGCTGTCCCCCATGACGCACCTCTGCTTGCTGTTACCTGTATGTTAATACGCTTGAATCCCATTGGCCCACTGCCATCATGTGCTCGCTGCCTGCTAATTAAAGACTCAGTCGACTGCCAAAGCAATGAAGCGACCCCTCGAGGCAACTGTAGACCTGGTACTTTGACCTTTCACCTTTTGCTTTGCATGTAGCTTCTTTAATTGTACTGTAGCCACTCACAAAATTTAAGTTGGCTCTTTTGTTTTTGTGAAACCCTGTAAGACACTTTAAAGTTTAAATATTTATCATTTATGATCGCCAGTGGCAATTCTAGATTGTACTGTACATTTATGAAATGAACAACTACAATGTAATGTTAAAATAATTCCAGCTATCACACTATTTTCTTTAATGTGTTGTTGATTGCCTTGCTATGGTGTAGTTTCTCATTGTCCTTGTGATAGTTACAGCAAGTTTCCATGTTTGCCTTGTTGTGCTGTGCATAGACAAATAACAGATTTACAAATATCAGTGCTGACTTGTGTGAGTATACAGTTCAAATCTACTGTGTTTTGTGTGCGTGTGTGTGTGTGCGTGTGTTCTCGGTGGATAGGCGTTCCCCCACGGCGTCCTCCAGCCCCTACCAAAGAGACAAGCACTTGAGAAGAGCAACGGAGCGAGCTCCCTGTTCAACCCCAGTGTTTTGCACTACCAGCAGGCGCTGGCCAACGCACAGCTCCAGCAGCCCACTTTCTTTCCCACAGGTAAGAGCTCCCGATCGATAACACACGGCACACAGATGCAAATAGAAGCACTCATAGGTATGCGGGGCATGCAAGCACACAGACACACTCACTGAATGTGCTCAGCTAACCTCCTATTCATCACAAATGTAGCTTTTGCTCATGCTAAAGCGAGAGCGCCTCTCATGATCACCTACGTACCTTTCAGTTCCTTTTGAAAGGGATTCATTTGAGTGACGCACATAAAGAGCCCCGCTGTGATGGCGTTTGGTTATGACTAATGTTACGACTATCCACCGTACCACGCCTGAACTTTGATCTGGTGCCTGCTAATATAAACACGTAAATGCTGCCAGGTGGAAGGCCAGTGCAGGCTTTGATCAGAGCAATAAAAGATATGATATATTACCACTTGAATATGATACACCTGTCACTGTAAGGTCCAAGCATACAAAAGAGCAAAACAAGCCCAGTTGTTCGCAACACAAAGGCTCTGTAACTAGGCCTTTAAAGGAAATAATGACTTATAGTTTCAAGCAAACGCAGCCTTTTCAGTGTATATTTAATCTGCCTTGACAGACATCGATATTAAAAAAAAAATATTAAAAAAGCAATTTTGTTCCAATTTTCCCAAATTAATTCAAGTCCGCTCCCTTATTCCTCTTCAGTTTTCCCCCCCTAAACAAAACGCTCTCTCTGTCTACTCCTCTCACAGACACTAACAGTCGCTTAAGCCCCCTCGGGCCAGCCGCTAAATGAGTTAACTGCAGCTAATACGGTGGCCTGTAGCCACACTGAGTCATGAGGATGAGACTCCCATCCCTCACTCTTCTCTCTACCTGCTCTTTTTGTGTCCCTGCGGTGTGAGATGCCTGACAGCCCCTCATCCCTCCCTCCCTCCCTCCCTCCCTCTGTATCAGTGTGTGGGAAGTGGCCCAGGGTTAAAGTCATCTTTGCAAATCTTTTTTTTATACAAATCTGTTTAAGTTTCAGATGGGTGGGGTTTCTCCACTTATATGAATTGTTCAGATCTGGATGGAAAGCCTGTGCACATCACTGTACTGACACTGCATGGTGGTTGGCTCTATCACCTCCTTAGCTTTAGCCTCTCTGTCATTAAGTCCTCTCTGTCTTGTTCTAGAAATTACTCATTTAGTTTTCATTTGATCCTTTTTCCTCAGCATATATTATCTATGTACGACAGTAGTTGCAGTTATACAAGGGCTGTGTGGCTGCAGAAGAAGTAGACAGGTGGAATATATAAATAATCTTTAGATTCAGTCTAGTGTGAAGGGTTTAGCTGCTTGTGGATCAGTGGAAAATGGGCAAGATCTGAGTCAATTTTATTTCACAAATATTTCCAAGTGGCCTCTACGAATACAAAAATAACACACTCTGTCCTTAGACCTGAGAGAAGGATATCAATTTTAGGTAAATGAAGTACTTTTCATGCAAAATTGAGTAGGCAAGAAGTACATAAGTGACTGATAATCATTTCCTTCCTTCACATCTGCAAACAGTAACTAATAAACTCAATGAGCCGGCTTTGCAACATGCTAAACCTGGCCACAGTTTCATATCCCGCAGTATACCTTAGTTGGCTCTGTGTTTGATGTAGCTGCATATAGAGAGTATTTTCTCACTAATGCTGTAACTGAATAAGGGAATTCCTCCGCTTGCTACTGTTAACTGCATTCATAGCTGCCTGACAGCACCACTGTTAACGGTAGCATCCGAGCTGAGTGAAGTCTTCTAGCTTCTTTTTTTTTTGTCTTGTCTAACCTTGTTGTTCTCCCTCAATTAACCCATTTATTTCCCCCTTTCTCTCTCTCTCTCCCTCTCTGTCTCCCTCCCTCTCCCTCTCTGTCTTTCTCTGCATGAACACAACAGGGTCAGTCTTGTGCATGACTCCTGCTAGCAGTCTTGGTAGGTCCTGACCTTCCCTTTGCTCTCTCTCACACACACACACACACACACACACACACTGTTTGATATGTAAGAGTGGGGGAAGGTTGAAGTGGGATGAGTGGGCAATATCCGCAGCCCTTGCAGGTGAGACAAAAGGTCATCCCTCCGCCGCATCACCTCCTGCAGCAGTGATGAAGCTTTGTTTTAAAAAATGTTTTGGATTGATTTTCATCAAACTGTCAGTTTCTGTAGGCTGTGATATGATAGGAAAAAATGTCCATTTTGTATCACCTGAAAGAGTTGTAACTTTCAGTTCTTGTTTTCCCTACTGACTTTCTCGCTAATGACTGTTTATGATTGAAATGGTAGTGTGGATTAAATACTGCAGACTGATCTGTTTCTTTAGCTGTAGGATAGCGTACTGTCTGTTTGCTGTGCTGTGTTGATCAGGAAATTTAAATCAGTTTCCCAGAGAAATTACCTCAGCCGCATGATAGCTGGAGCATTTGTCTCCGCTAGAAGGGGATGGGAATTAGAAAAAGTCCCAGTCGGCTAACCAGCAGGCCCTACAATGGAAAAATTATTACTGGGAATAATGATTTTTAGCATATAACAGTAACCAGCTGGATTTATTTTATTTATTTCTTTGCATCTTCCTGCTGTTGTCAGCCCACATGGATTGAAAAATAATATTCCCATCCCTGATGCCAAAAATGGGATTAATTCACTCTAATTGGTGTCTTGTGCCGCTCAACTTCTCTGGGAAAAACAGCAAACTGATTTTCCATATAAATTTCCTTATTTGTGATTGTAATCAGCTTCTCTCCTCTTGTTTTTTTTTGTTATTTTTTCTCCCATGCTCTCTTTTTCTTTCTTTCTTTCTTTCTGTCCTCCTTGCTTTGCATTGTGAATGGTTGCATGCCATCTGCCGGTGTAACCCTAACGATGGCTTGCTGGCTCTCTGTAACATCCGCCACCACCACAACCACCACCATCACCTCCACCACCACCACCACCACCACCATCAACAACAACAACAACAACAACAACAACAACAAACGATACCGTCGACACACACGCACACACATCACAACGGTTACCATAATGCTCCACCTACCTGTCCATTGCTACCACCTCC